TTCAGCAACTTGCTGACGCCAGATTGAGGAAGACCTGAATGATTTCTAGTGCCACGGGACAGAGGCACTCCGGCCATGACCAGACTCCTCCTGGTGCTCGTGAATGGGCATGGGAGGAACTCTCCAACTCGCAAGGTGGCAGAGGTGACTCTTTCCTTCTCTCCCGTTAATGGCTACGCTGTTGTCACAGGCCTTGGGTTGTCATGGTGATTCCAGATGGAACTGAAACAAAAGCATGCAGCATACAGCATCGCCATCCGGTGGCCTGTCTGAGAAACACGCCAGCCAATCTGTCCACTCCAGTGACAGAGGAAGGACTGAGAACAGGTAAGGTTTTCCTAAGAGAAATCAGAGGAGAGCTGCGACCCAGCGCCTAGAGGGGGGGGGCTATGACCCAGCTGCTGGGCAATCAAGTGACCCTGCCTAGCTCTACTTGGTCTGCCCCCTGTCACATAGGTATTGGGGTGATCACCTCCCTATGATAGCCACCTGGTGACTAATTAGGCCTTTAAGAAGAGAGAACCGTTTACACGGAACACTCCAGAACTCAAGGCTTTCCTGAGGAAACGCCAGATTCACAAGAAAGGGAGGAATTCTCTCCTTAAAAAATGCACCGCTGAGTTGAGCTGTCTTTGCTGCAGGAGAAGACCCCTTTCTTCCCACCCAGCATCATTTCTGTGTCTCTGGAAATGTGAGCTCCTAGAGTCCTGGTCTTATAACTTATATATGAGCAATCAAGGCCAAGTTAACTAACCCTCAGTTCCCCATCTGTAAGATGGGCCTCGATCAAAATACTTCCTCATAGCATTGTTGAGAAGATTAAACAAGACTATGCATCCGCCGTTGCTTAGCACCGGTCCCAGGCATCATAACTACTCAATCACTGTTAGGTGCTCTGGGCAGTAGCAGCGGAAGCAGCAGCAGCAGGCAGTGCACGTGAAGCTGCTTGTGAGGGGATGTTATCTACGTGGAGTGAAGCTGGGTTCACTGCTCTCTAATTGGCAAACTTCAAGAGCCTCAAATGGTTCTGTCTGCCTTCCAAGAAAACGGAACAACAGGTGCCATAACTTAGGCTGAAGGCATTCTGGTTTGGTTTAAAACCTCCTGGAGCAGGTTGAAAAGACTCCATCTCTGATGTCACTGTGCACATACATCCCCCTTGCAACTCCAGTGACTTCCCGAGGCATGCCACATAATCAATGAGTGTTAAGTGAAAGCTCTTCTTTCCCCAGGGAAGGCCGGGACAGCACAGCTTGCAGCCGCCCATCAGAGAAGGAAATGACAGCCCTCGTGACACACTGACTGCTTTCTCTGCCTTGCAGATGATGGGCCTCTAAGCTACAAAGTGCAGCCTCTTAGGGCATGCCTACCTGCTGGCTGCCCACACAGGACCAGATGCCCATCATCTCAGATGTCCTAAGCGCTCAGGGGGATGGAGGGAAAGCACTTAGGATTACATGCAGGTGACACTTCCTGCTCTAACCTTGGCTTCTCAGGTGCCTCCCTGGGTTCACCCAAACTTCCGGCAGGCAGGCTGAACAAGGAAGCTGAGAGACTATCTCCCATCCTGAACACAGGGAATGGCTGCTGGGACCGGACCCGTTGAGGATTAATTACACGGAGGTCCGCCAGCTACTAGAAAACATCTGAAGGCAATGAAAACAGACTTCTGAGTTTCTTAGAAATGAGGGTTGAGGTTCAGTTTAAGAATGAGCTTTCCAACTTCCAACTGTGCAGCGAGAACTTAATCGCAGAAGCCATCAGCGAAGGGGAAGACAGGCAGATTTGTCAGAAAAACCATGGTGGGACTGCGGCACCAGCCGGCACATCTATACGCATGTGTTATGGTTTGGGACTCTCTAATGTATGTATGTGTGCGTGCACGTGTGTGCTCATGGGGGTGTGCATGCATGTATGTATGTGTGCGCTTGCGTGGGTGTGTATGTGTGTGCATGACAGCTGTGTTCATGTGGGTGTGCATGCATGTATGTATGTGTGCGCTTGCGTGGGTGTGTATGTGTGTGCATGAGAGCTGTGCTCATGTGGGTGTGCATGCATGTATGTTTGTGTGCGCTCGCGTGGGTGTGTATGTGTGTGCATGAGAGTGTGGGTGGATAGCCCTGAGGCTCATTTGATCTGAGATCTTGGATGTTAAACTAAGGATGTAACCCTCGGGAAGATTCAGAGAACAACATATCAAGTTCAGGGTCAACTCCAGGACAGCTAAAGCTTGCCTGGAGAAGTCTCCCAGAATGCCTAGGATAGTGTTATTAGTGTTGATCACCTGTCCAAAGGAACATGGTAAGCAGAATGCCAAGGTAGCCTGGCTGGGTATATCCTGAACTGGGCACAGTTGGAAGGATGGCAGCTAAGTCCAGAGCAAGCAGGAAGGAAAGGGGGCACAGAATAACCAAGCACAAACATTCACTTGGTCCTTGTTAGTGTCACAGTAAGTGCCAGAAAGAAAATATCCAGGTCCTCTAGGCACGGAAGGGACATTTCCACTTTGAGATGAACCAATCACTCAAGAGAGAGGGAGGAGGGGGTGGGGGAGACAAAACTCCCAGTGACCGCCTCGGAGTCAAAGCAGATGCAATTACCCAGCCATCCAGGGTATTCTAATCAGAGCCTTCTTATCAGACTATCTGCAGCCAAATGAGGAGAAATCCAATCTACAGCCCGCTGAACCCTAAATTCGATCTAATGGGGACCTGCTTTCCAACTGCTCAACAGCAGGCCAGAACCAGAGATGACGCACTCCGTCTCTGCCTGCAGGTTCTTTCTGGAAAGCAAGCCAGCCTGACTTGTGTCAACTCCTGGTCTCCACAGAGGGAGAAGCATTGTCTTTACCCCCTAGCTAGTCAATTCCATCTGCTCAAAGTGGTGCTGTTCAGCTGGCCTGTCTTTCAAACCTGGGAGGGGGGGGGCGGGCTTGCAACCTCCTGACTGCTGTCAGCTTGTAGCAGGGACACATTCCCTTTGTTTAAAAATATGCTGGTCTAGAGTTTTCGATACACACCGTTCACAGTGCTCGGCACTTTGATGTCCAGTCCGTCTCTCCTTAGTGGAGATAGACATGACCTGTTCCTTTCAGCGTCTATCATCAAAGGCCATTCACACCAGCCTGGCCGGCCAAAGCACGCCCCTCCCATACCCCCACCTCCAGGCAGTTGCTATTGTTATTCTGTGGATTAATGGCTCCAGTTAACCAGTGGTAACTTAGTTTCTCTGCTAGGAGCAAAGAACGCCATCTGTTAAACACCCAGATCCTTGCTAGCCCCGGCATGCCATTCTACAAAACAGCCTCAAAGACCAGGGAAGGGCTGGGGAATTTTGAACACAGATCTGCTCGCCTCCAGCCAGGCAGAATGAGAGAGAAGTGGAGGAAGAAGCAGGAAGATGCGGGGGACAGAGAGCTTTTTCACGCTGCTTTTCAGCGGATGGTTGCGATGCTGGATCCACAGCCCAGAATCTTGATGGCCATTTCATTCCAACACTATTCGCTTGGTATATAGCCTAGGGGCAATCTGCCCAGGGACTTGGGAGCTTAGGGTGCGTGAAGGTATGAGATGGGAGGGTCAGAGGAAGTCTTCACTTCTTTCTAGAAGTGTCCTTGCAAGCCAAAACTACCTGTGTCCACCTTACCACTTAGAGTCTTTGGTTCTGCGCCTTCTCCTCTTTCAGAGATCTGGCTGGTCCACCTGGCCCGTAAACTTAGATTTTGGCACCTTCTAACTGTACAAGGGAGGCAGGGAGTCTGGAGCCTCTTCTTCCCTGGGAACTGAAGGTGACCCATCTTTCTCCTTTCCTCCCTCATGGACCAAACGTGGCCCAGCCTGGCCTTACACTCATGACCCTTTCGTGTCAGTTTCTGAAAGCCCTGAAATTAAAGGTACACAATACCTTGCCTGACTTAGAGGGGATTTTTTGTTTGTTTGTTTGTCTGAAGACAGGCAATTAAAAAAATTACACACAAATCTGTTTGTACTCAGATGAAGGCCTGTGAAATCCTGTCATGCGCTATCGAGGGAGCTGAAGCCTTTAGAAACATGTGACCACGAGAGTACTCAATTTCTATGCTTACTTTGCTGTGCGACACAGGGCAAGTCATTTACCTCTCTGAGACTAGGCATTCTCCAATGCTCATAGGGTACTCAAGGTCAATTCTTAATACCAACAGGAATTATGACAGTCATATACTCCTTTGCGCGCGCACACACAAACACACACACACACACACATATGCACGCATGCACACACATACAGGCTCACATGCACGCGTAGTGCCACTGTAGCCACCACCTAATCATAATCTGGGGATGATTCTTGCTCATCATCAAGTCTTCTAAAACAAGCTGAATTCCTTTCTTTATTTCTCCACATCGGAGTTCAATTATCTTCTTCAAACATTTAAGCCCAAATGACCAGAATAAAATAAACAAATAAATAAACCCAAAGCTTAAAACCCGAGGCAACAATCTTCCTTTACATGAAATAAACACTTGCCCCCAGCCTCCCTGACCAGACAGTCACACTGCTGGCTTCTCCTCACCCACACCCCTCGCAAGGTCACATGCCTATGGGCCGGGCAGCTGTTTTAGCTTTCGTCTTGGCGTTTGCCTTGGGAAGGTTGTAGTTCCCTAGATTCTTCCTACACCTCTGTAAGACATTTCCTCTCGCAGAATTTGATTCCTTTCTCACTTTCAAGTCCTGAATCCATTCCTGACACACACTAGGGCCAGGGTTCTGGATTGTATCATCTAGGCTTACGTACACTAGCCTTGGCGTTCTTTGTCAACTCTTTGCCTCTTGGGCCACACAAACAAACCTTGGGGAGGGGAGACAGGGTGCACAGAGGCTTTGGTGCCAGTATGATAGGCATCGAGTGAGTCAAAAGAACGCTTCTGAGCATGGCTTAAACATTTTTGTCTGCAAAAAAAAAAAAAAAAAAAAAAAAAAAACGGCCACAAAGATGTAAAAAGTAGCCAGTTTCTACTCACAGCAGCTGCAGGGACACCAGCCCATCAAACAGTCCCTTGGGAATCTCTGTAATCTTGTTCCCATAGAGCACCCTGGAAGAAAGCAAATGACAGCAATCAGCAGGATGTAAGGGAGGTCATCACCTCTGCCAGTTCTGGGTGCCAGATCTCCGGTCACCTGGCGCCCTGGGCCGCCACATCCATCCCATCTCTTATCAGGGAGCCAGAGGCAGGCAGGCAGTTCATCCTATGTGGGTGGAGGTGCTGTCCTGGAGGTGAGCTAAGGCAGGCGCCATCTTGCTGCACTCCAGCCCAGTCTGGCACATCACCCCGACAAGGAAGAAGCGGGCCCTTTGTGGTACCTCCTGAGCGGCTAACGTGACTCACGCCCCACAGTAAATAAGCAGTGTGGGAGGCAATCCTGTGTCTTCAATGGGTATTGATCAGGCCGAGCTAGCCTATAGAATGTTTCCTTTTAATATCCCACTGCATCCTAGGAATTCCTGAGCTGAGTTCTTTAATCACCCATCTAGACAGCGGGGGCTACAGGGATGCGGGGGCAACTCCAGATGGTGCAAGCATTGCTGAGTTGTGTGCCCTGGCTCAATGGGGAGGCTGAGGAGTTTCGCTGTCTCAAATGATGGCAGCTTCCACTCTCTATATCCGCCTGTCTCATTCTCTCAGATCTAAGAAGAAAGGAACTCAGATTTTTTTTTTCATTTCATCTTTGAGGTCCACAGTGCTCCCCCCCTGCTATTTCGAGGCCCCATGTCTGCTGAGTTAAGAAGCCTGGGAAAGGAATATGGGTTCACCTTTCAAACCCAGCCCCGAGCAGGTCTGGAAACCTAGAACTGAGACTCCCAGGACCTCTTTCTGCTTCATCTCCTGACAGACTTTGCTGTCCATGGGGTCGAGCCTCCTCTTCGATCAGGAAACAGAGCTAAAGAGGGCTTGGTTTGCATCTGTTAAAACCCCTTCTCGGGTCTGAGGACACGGGTTATGCAATTATTTAATTCCCCCTCAAATCAAGACTCTGGGCTGACGGTCATTTGAGGAGGCAAATATTAGGAGGAAGAAATGGCGAAAGAGTGTGAAGTTGGCCCCCTCTCCCCCACTGCCGCCCGTTTCCCGAAGCCACTGGGAGTGAAGAGTGAGTTCTCCATCAGCCTGCGGGTGTGTTTCATTAATGCTTCAACAAATTAATGACTAAACAGAAGTCAGCATGACGGCGCGGGCTCACATTTGTAATTCATATTAATGTCCCACGGCTCACTGTGGCAAATGTAGTAATGCCACTGCCTGTTCGTCTCGGTGGACGCCAGGGCTTCTAGAGAGGCACAAGCTGCTGGCGGTGGAGGCGGGTGTAGGGATGCTGGGGAAGGGGTCCGCAGGCAGCCCTTCACGCCTTGGTATGGAGCATCCTCAAACCTAGTGGGTCACCTGCCTATGCGTCAGCCTTGAGGATGCTGGTCTGCGGATCTGTGTGGCTTCCCGCCTGAGGGATCACCTTCACTAGCCTTTCATGCTTGAGCCCAAGCATCTCTCCCTCTGCAGAAGTCTCCTAAATGGTTGAGCTAAGATTTTCTACCCTCTATTATCTTATTTTGCTTCTCTCCAGCATTTACCCTTATGTTAACTCACACTATTTACACATTTATTTAGGCTTAGTTTATTATTATCATTTTTAGTATTTTGTATGTCTGGGTGGTTTGCCTGTGTGTAGGTCGGTTCACCTTGGATGTGACTGGCTGGAAGAGGCCAGAAGAGGATGTCAGATCCCCCGAGACTGGAGTTTCAGTTGGTTGTGAGCTGCCATGTAGGTGCGGGGAATTGAACCCAGGTCCTCTAGAAGAGCAGCCAGTGCTCCTAACTGCTGAGCCATCTATCTCTCCAGCCCCTTTAGGCTTAGTTTTTATGTTCTTCCTTTAACTTTCCTGAATGTGATGATGTTATAGGGCACGCTCATGGCTGGAGCTCTAGAGTGGAAAAAGAGCAAGATCTAGTATAATAAACACCCACGGAATGAATGTATGAATGGATGAACAGGTCTGGGGTAAACGTTCTCCATTCCGTTACCCTACATGGTCAGCTTCATGAGCCCTGGGGCGTCTCTGTTCGGTTGCTGGTCAAATTCTTAGTGCCTCTCAAACCACTCATCACACAGCAAGCATCTGCTAAGTGGAGGAACAAATAAACAAAAGCCAAGAGGCCCTTCACTGAATGCTCGGCACGCACCTCCGAGTTCACTACAGGTGTGCCAATTTCCTGTCTGGCAACCAGATTTTGAATTTCTTCTGCAAGACAGGAATCGTCCCACTATCTTGAGACTGTCCCCAAATATCAGCTAAGGGAGACCAGACAAGGGGAAGGGGAAGGTTAAGATGGGATCCTGGTGGCAGGGGCCTCTCTGTCTCTTCCTCTCTGTGACACTCATCACAATAAGCGGACACTAATCTCACACACGGCCCCGTCTTTGATATCCCAGCCAGATGTTCTGTTCGATAAATGAAACTAATTTACTCGGCAGGCAGCAGACACCAGCTGAATCAGGGACTTCCTGTCCTCGGTCCCTGCCCAGTGGGATGGGAGGACATGTGCATCTTGTTACCTGCATGCTCATAAACTAGGCAAACGCATTGTGAAGGGGCAGAACACAGATCGCACGCCTGTGAACACCCTTTTGATTGTTTGGGGTGTCGAAGGGAACAAGGCACTAGATGATATAAATGTACGAACTTATGAAACCATCACTATGTACGCAGTATGTTGAATGGGCTGCACAGTACGGTGATCAGGAGTGGAATCCTAGACCAAACATGCTGGGCTCAACCCTACCTCTCAGACCCATTAGTGTGTTTTTACAAAAGTGTTTTCCACTTATTTAACATGCTCTGTCTCTTCCTCCTTCATCCCTTCTCCCTCTCTGTGATGTATGCCACTATGTGTGTAGATAGACATGGCGTGTTGCTCACTTGTGTGTATGTGTGGAGGCCAGAAGTGATGTTGGGTGTTTTCCTCCATTGCTTTCCACTCGGTGAGCTGAGGGACTGAGCAGTGAGCTCCCGAGATCCACTCTCCTCTGCCCCCACCCGCAGGGCTGGGTTACAGCTATATACCACTGTGCCCTGCTTGTATGGGTGTCCTAAAACTTCAGCAGCAGGTAATGCACGCACTGTCATCTCCCCAGCCCCGAACCTTTTCTTTTATCACTAGGTACGAGGTTCAGTCTTAGGTAGCAGGGTTACAGATGGGCACAGAAACAGTTAAGGAACTGAGCTACATGGTAGAAGACTCCACTCCACCGTTTATGTTTTTGGGAGGATTGAGCCCGTAAGACTCTGCGGAGAGGACCTGGTCACAATCAGTGCTTGATACATGCTGTCAATTATTGTTATTGGTATAATATATCAATCACACAGTGTGTTAGACAAGGAAGGATCACTCTCTCCACTCCGTCTGAGGAAACATGCAGAGAAGGCTGAAGGACTGCCTATGCCCCGAGTGAGCTGCTGAGGGAATAAGGGCCAACCCCACACCTTCTGAGCCTGGGAGTCCAGTGGCCCTAGGTGGGTGGGGCTTTGAATCTCACCACTGGGCCAAATAAGGGCTTTAAAAAGCCACAGATGGAAGGGTGATGGGATGGGATGGATCTTTTCTGAACACTAACTACAAGGTTGGAAGAGCCTGGAAATCAGCAAAGGAAGTACTGCCCTCCTCGACAAGGCTACAGACCGTGGGAGGAAGGGTGGTGAGCCATGGCCTCATGTCAGACATCCATTACCATTCTCTCCACCCGATAGCCTGGTCTCCCCCGAGACAGCGCTGTGCAGCGTGAGGTGGGAGGGGGAGCGAGGTTGAGAGTCAAAGATGCATTCGAATTAGAAGCCAATAACTGGGAAAGCCGCTGGGCACTTAATCAATAAAAATAATGCATGTGAGTTGTAGAAATATTCCCCGAGATCAATGTCCCCCTGAAGAAATATTTGTTTCTTTTACCAGATTGCCACAAGTGTGTAAGGAACATAAAGCCGTGATAAACCACCTCCTGAAAAATGCGGACATGCCTCCCACCCCGGCCCCACTTACAGTGATGTGAGTGATTTCAGGCCCTGGAAGGCATCCGCAGCTATGTCCGATATCTGATTCTTGCTGATGTCTCTGAAAACATTAATGGGAACTGAGAACACGGCTCACAGGTGTGATAACGCTCTTCCTGAAGTATGCACCCAGCAGTTCAGCCATTCAAACCCAGTACCGATTAACTGATCAAGCGATTTATTTATTCCCGGCACAAGAGGCAATGCCTAAAGAACACATCTCCCACTGCCTCGGGGTAAAGTATACCTTCGCATGTTGTCTCGGGTGCTAAGGAATGCCCACTTAAGTCTTGTCTGGCATAAAAGGCTATGAATATGTAGGTCATTACTGTTTGGGTGTGGGGAAGCCACCTCCAGAAGCCATGCATGCTGGGCATGCTGATACCCTGTGATCCCAGCACTTTGGAGACTGAGGAGGATTGGGAGTTGGAGGCCAGCCATAGCGACACCCAATCTCAATAAAACAAAACCAAACCAAAATCCAACCAATCAACCAACAAAAACAAACAACAAATCCCCCCAAACAAAAAAACCTGAACCTCAAACAAAAACCAACTTCAAGCGAGCCTTGGTCTCAGGTGCCATTATCAAGTATTTAACAGTGAAGACAAGGCAACACGGGCCCCACCCAACCAAAGGTCAGGCCAGGCTCCTTTACACATTGTTCTCTTGTCTGGTACCCCAGTAGTAATTACTATCTTGAACCATCTGTGGTATTTCACTTCCTCAGTCACTTCTCATCTCTGAAGGAGTCTCTGAGCATGGGTGATACACTCTCTTAGCTGTGGGAGATGAGCAAATCACAAGCCTCTCAAAGCAGGCCTTTGAGACAGGCGTGTGTCACTGGCTGGGAATGTTCCTCATTTGGGAAAGAGTCCGTCTGACACATCCAAGCTTTAAGAGACTAGAAGGATCTTCCAAACACAGTATACATGGTGGCTAGCCTGGCCTTGAAGGTGCAGGGCCAGGGAGCCCTCTGCTGTATACTTTTAGAGTTCCAGCGACAACTGGGCCACAGGTTCTTGCTAATGGCCCCTGTGGAGGGGGATTTCTTTTCCTCAGAATTATTAGCTCAGGGTTGGCCTTTGGGTTCCTGTCACTGGCTGGGGAGATGCACCAATTTCCCGCGACAAGAAACTTGTCCTGTTCAACTAAATAAATCAATGGGTCCCTGCTTTTGTGCAGAAGAGGGAGGGCTGAGGTCTTCGCAGGCCAACAGGAGGAGACAAGTAGATATTGAGAAGAAAGCACATCTGAGAAGACTCGCAAATGACAGTCTCCGGTAGGGCCAGTCACCCAGTCGCCCAGCCGCCCAGCCGCCCAGCCTCTTAACCGCACACAAAAGGAGTACCTTTCTCCTGTCTCCCCCTTTCATCTCACAGCCTAGGAAAAGGCCATGCAACAACTCTTACCTAGACCTCTGCTCCCTTACGTCCTACTTCCAAAGCCTGTAAGTTGCAAGATATCTCCCAGGTTAAGGCCCCTCTGGCACAGCTGTCTGGCTTATCCCTTTAGCTGGCGAGATCGCCTCAAACAAATCCAGATTGTGTTCGCAAACTGTCAGCTTACGCTGGGCTTTTCTCCGGCGCCCCATTTTTGTATAAGGGTCTTAACAAGCCTGGATTAACCCTGGATTATCCTAATCTTGCTCACCCTCAGGTGAGCAATTTAGAGCGGCACACAGGGTCTGCCCACATCAGAGAGGAGGCCCATTTTGATGTTCTCCCCCTCATGGGATGTCCATGCAGAGGGTCCAGACCCCTAGCATGCAGGAAGTTACCCGGCCACTGAGGAAGATCCCTGACTCAGCTATGTGGGGACAGACTGGGGTTTTAGTTCACAATGAGAACTTCAGGGATCAACTATCCTTGGGCTAGAACACGAGGTGAGGTCATCTTCTAGTTTGGAAGTGAAGGATGATGGGAAATGGAAAAGTGATGGTTTGGTGGGAAGAGACACTGGTAGTCACTTAGCCCCCTTTTCCCCTAATTTTTTTTTATTGTATACATTTATATATTTGCAGTGTGATGTTTCAGAATATGTGCTCACTGTGGATTAGCTAAATCAATCTGTTTTGCGCATCCCAACCCTAGGAAGTTACCCTATTAGTACTTGTAAGGACACTTACAACCTACCCTTGGAAATTTTCAAGTAGACAATACGCTGCTATTAACCATAGTCAGCATGGTATAGGAGATCCCTAGGTCATACTACATGTTTGAGAATCTTGTCAGGCTGCGACCTCCTCAGTACCCTGCAGCCATAAACTGAATGGAGAGACTGGCTTTTCCAGGCTGGAACAGCAAATTCAGTCCGTAGAAGGGATAAGCGGAGAATAAAAGACTAAGATACTAGGAAATCTTACAACCCGTGGAAGGTTTTTGTTCTACCCCATGCATTCAAATGAAAAGAACTTGTTTTGTTTTTGAGACATGGTCTGGCTATGTTGTTCAGGTTGGCCTCCAACTCACCACCCTCATGCCTCAACCTCCTGAGTTGGGATGGCACCTGTACCACCACATCTGGCTTCAGAGAACCCTCCTAGCACCATTCTGGCAGAAGGGCACAGGCTTGCCTTCAGTGTTAGGGCTGATCACACATCAACTTTATAAAACCAGAAAAATGATCTCCAGCACCCCATCTCTTTACTCATATGGGTTTTTACCTACCAGTATTTATTTTAATATTGGGGTGATCATTAGAAATAGGTAGGCGTGGCATCAATGATTCATGATTAATTCTATTTTTTAAAGAGTAACCAGGATGTGTTCAGTCACAGCTGAGGGGAGATTTCTTCCTGTTAAATATTATGTATAAACTATTCATGGTCAAGGAAATCATGGCTAGGGTCTCAAATCCAGTCGCATCTGAGACTTATCTGAGCCTACACCATTAAACAACAGTCTATATTTCTGAAATTCTATCAGTCAAAAAAGTTTAAGCGGACTCTTTTTCCTCCTTTCACCCCTTTATGGGGCATCATAATAAATACCAGTGGCATCAGAGGTGATCAAAAATTAAATTCACTCGCCAGGTCATGACTGATAAGGTCTTATGAATTTTGAATGTGCCAATCGTGGCAACTCCAATGGGCTGGAGAAAGGACAGTAAAACCAAGCTCTAAATTACCTGGACTCCACAAAAAAATTAGAACAGTAACTTAAATCATGCAGGAGCTATGGGTTGGGGGCAGTCACTGGACTTGTCATTTTTCACCCAAATTACTATCTGGGTGCATAATCAAGCTAGGCTTTAAAAATGAATTTGGGGGACGCATGGAGAAGTGAGCTGGAGAAGCAGGGATACCGGGAGATTAATGACTCAAGGTTTTAAATATTAAGGCCTATATTGATACAGCTCTTCCAGAAAGGATGCTGCCAAAGCGAGGGAGAAGCCTGGGCTTGGAGCTGGCTCATTATGTTGGCTTCCACTTTTGGAATTGCACTAGAAGATCTTGTTTGCTTTTGTTAGCTCTGGCTTTCCAGGGAGATGGGAAGTTGGCTTCCTGAGATTGGAGGGTAAGCCTACTAATGCCACTGTTTCGTGGGCATATTTATTTTTAACATGAAAGGAATCAGTAGGCCTTGTTGACACAGCCCCCCTGCCTCCGCCACCTTCATGAGAAATCAGTGGACAGGCCTCGCATGCAAGGGGACCCAGGATGGAGTCCGTGCATAGTTTTCTTTCTGCAGCGAATGAAAACAGCATGCTCAACACCAGGCTTGGCTAACAGATTCCCAACGTGGAAGAGGGAAGTGGGGGTACCCCTTTCGAATCTTTTAAGGAAAAACTTATTTATTTGTATTTTATGCCTGCATATGTGTCTGCGTGAGGGTGTTCAATTCCCTGGAACGGGAGTTACAGACAGTTGTGAGCTGCCATGTGAGTGACGGGAATCGAACCCGGGTCCTCTGGAAGAGCGGCCCGTGTTCTTAACCGCTGAGCCATATCTCCAGCCCTTTCCTGTAGAATCTTAATCTCTGTGATGGGTCATTTCTGAATCCCATTTTTGTCTCTTCAAATGCTTCCGGGCTGTGTAACTCACAGTTAAAGTTTAAGGTCACCAAGTGACTGATACTGTCCCCCCCCATGGCGGGGATGATACAGGAATGCAGTCTCAGGCTGCTGCCGTGTGATGATGTGGTATCAGTAACTATGGTTCTAGGGATGCTGGATTTGACCATGGTCAATTCATATGACTACAATCTTAAACCACAGGCCCAAATGTTGGGCAGAACCTCCAGGGTTAACACATGTCACTCAGAAGAGAACGCCTTTACTGTGGTCTCAAGTGCTCATGTGACCTAGCCTCTACCTGTACCTCTCAACGATCCCCACCCCCACCCCTCCCTTGCTTACTCCTCTTCCCTGGATATGAACTAGCATGCACGACTCCCATGCCTTCCATTTGCCCTGACTGTTGCCTAGGAGAGCCTACTGAACCTTGATACTTATTGCCTCATTTTTCTGTGCTCTCCCAACTGAAGTGGAGCCTCCATGAGCGTAGTTTTCTTGTTATTGATGGCTCCAGCCAGACTCTGTAGCAGACACTCATGTAAGTATTAAGTATATGAGTGTATGCATGTTCGTAGGAATGTGAATGATGGCAGTATAGGCAGATATGAAGCCACTGGCATATTGCTGTTGGTATCACTAAAGCCAGGGGAATTTAACGTGGCCAACATGGGTCTGGGGGTGGGGCGGCTCACCTGCTTCTCTCACAAGGATCATTTCACTCCTCTCCTGTCAGAGAGGCTCTTAGCTCTACATACGGAAGCTCGCGAACCTTACCATGTATACGTGACCCCTCCTCGCAATCTCAGAACAGCCTAGATGGGATGCCTACCACACCCTGGAAAGCCCTCCCATCCACCCTCCCACAGAAACATGCCGACAAAGGGAGACTCACATCCGCTTCAGTTTCTTGTACTGGGTGAAGGCTCCTGCAGGAATGGACTTGATGGAGTTCTGTTCTAGGCGTCTGGAGAACAGAGCAGAAAACAGACAATTAAGCAACCACTTACCACCAAGGGACCGCTGAGGGGTGACTACATCCTATGGCCTTGAGGACAGGATGGTGTCTCTCAGTACAATGCACAAGGGGACAAGCCATGGGTCCCGGTTGTGGGAGACAGGACAGACGCTGCAATGGTCACAGCATTCAGCTGTTGGTCCATAGAGCTCCATCCAAGGGCCCAAGAGATGTCGGGAAAAAGTTGAAAGAGGGGTCCAGGAGCTTCGAAGCTTGCTTGTTAGCAGTTGCCTTTGGAGGCAGCCGTGTTCTTCAGAGAATGTTGCAGGAACCAAGCAAAGTGTTGAAAAAGCCGACGTCACAGAGAGAAGGAAGAAAGAGAGAGGCCATGGAACCATGTCGCTATTTAGTTGACATCTCAACCAGAGCTAATGGGCAGAACTGTCAGCAGCTGACTTCATTTCGGCAGTTTTAATACTGTGGTGGAAAGAGTCTGAAAATCTTCAGGCTTTCAGCATGACACTTCTCAGACTGGCTCCCTGAGAGCCTGCAAGCCTCAGGACCCAGGCTGGACCCGGGAGTTGCTGCTGGACTATGTACCATATACGTCATATGAATTCTCTCAAATGCTTTTACGTGTAGGACTCTGGGAGGAACAGGAGATGTTGCAGGCCTGCAGCCCAGAACTTACTGGGAAGAGAAGGGGCCGTGGGGGAGTAAGTGAGCCTTTCCAGTCTTATTATTTCATCTCTCAAATGCCTACCCACCACTAAGAACCGGTGTAGTGGGAAACAGGCATGAGCGGCAGGTGGGACACTCTATTACAGATGATAAATGACACCCGAGCCCAGGCTGAGGACTCAGGACCTCATCCCCATCCATCTCCCTTCTCCCTAAGGTGCCGATCTTTTCATCAGCTCCTCATTTGGCACGGCTGCTCCCCAAACCCTCAGCTGGGAAGACACAAACACACATACACACACACACACACACACACACACACACACACACAGAGAGAGAGAGAGAGAGAGAGAGAGAGAGAGAGAGAGACAGAGAGAGAGCGAGAGAGAGAGAAGAGAGAGAATGTGAATATGTTTGGAAGGGGATGTATGGGGTGCCAAAGGGAGAGAGGGGAGGGGCCAGCTCCCTCAGAGGCTACGTCTAGTGGCTGCACACTTCTGGCAAGGAGGACCCATTCATCTTGAAGAGTAATCCCCACTGCAGAGTAGGGGAGACAGTCGTATTAATTTGTGCCTCCACGATCTCATCTTCATTGGGGGAACGGAGTATTTGTTACTGGAACCGCTAATGGAGCAGTTTGCCAGCAATTTTCCCATTTCAAACAACATCTCAGCTGCTAATGTGGAATGGTTTGTCAGGCCTACCCATAACACAGACAAATCACTCTCTAGGCAAAAGGAAGGGGGAACGAGTGGGAGCCCAGACAGGAAGGGCGGGTGAGAGGAGAGCGAGCACCAGGACAGATCATTCTTGGCTGCTGGATGAACACAGTTTCCAAACGAGACTGCCACGCTCTGTTAGCAATGTCTTTGTGCCCTGCTGGAGGGGGTGGGGAGGGCACTTTCCTGGGACTGCAGTCAGCGGCAGGTTGGACAGGGGCCTGGTTGGCTGACTGGCTGCTGGTGAGTCACCAAAGCTTGCCAGGGGGACTCAGAGACCATGGGCTACTGGATGCAGCCACCCACGGAGGCTGTCTTGACAGACTTTCCAAGGACATCCTCATTTTCCAACTGAGTAGAGAGTTCAGCAGGGATTTCTCAGCCAAGGCAACAGCTCCGTGGATCTCTGGGGCAACGCGAGCTCTCCAGGCATCCTGTGAGTCACCTGCCACTCAGGAAAGGGATTCCATGGTTTGCTGCCTTCGGAGAGAACCACTGTCTACAAGGGTGGTGACCCTTTCATTTTGTTGCAGGGGAATTCATGGCTCTTTGCTATAGCTAGAGGCCTATGTGTGTGAAGCAACGTTGGGTACAGGTTCGGCTATCTATCTGTGCAATTTATAATCGGCCAGCCTCCACTTTGGCAAGTACTAAGGGAGGGGTGCTCCAATGAGCAGGATGTGGCACTGAACCTCAAGGACCTTGAAGAATCTGGTGACAGAGTCGAAACCAAGAAGGCCCGTCACAGAACTGAATTTCACTGCTACCATATAATCAAGGCGAACCAGCACTTCTGGAGTTGTGTTGTTGACGGCTATTCTTTCTGTGAACCCTTACACTTACGAGACAAGCTGTCCTGGCCCATTTGTAGACAAGGCAAAGGAACCCTCGAGGGATCCAAAGCTTGTCAGAAAGAACAAAGCTAGTTAGTGGTGGAATTGCTGAATCCTGTTCCTATCCATTGGTCCCACTGCTTGCCCCTATTTATGAAAATGGGTAAACAGAGGCTTCCCCCAAAGTCACGGGAAAGCCTGAGGCATTAGGACCCCACTGATAACGTGGATGTAGATTCTCAGTGGAAAGTTCTCTGTCGGAACTGAGGGAAGACAGACCAGAGATGTGAATACACACCAGCTCTGGATCTATGGGCTCCACATTTACAGAGTCAATCAACTGTATTTTTTTTAAAAGAAAATCACAAAAAGACATGTTATCCAACATGGGTAGCCTTTCTGACCATTATTTCCTAAACAACACAGTCTACTTACACAGTATTGGCACTGTTAGGTACCATAAGTAGTTGAGAGAGGACTTACAGTATACAGGAAAGTGGTCATAGTTTATATCCATCTTATATAATGGATTTGAACACCTGAGGACTAGGAGTTCCGTGGGGCTCCTGGAAGTACCCCACCCATGCATATAAAATACTCATATGGAGTTCAAGGGAGTGAGGTTTGGATAAAGGACTAAGAACTCCAAGCTTAGTCGATCAACTGCAGTAGAAACCTTGGCTTGCATCCTGCAATCCTCAGATTTTCTGACTCGGAGAATGGGCGTTCTCTGTATTTCTAGGCCTCTCACTGAGCCCTTAATGGAGTGTCAAAGGCGTGACATGCTCAGGAGGCAGTGAGACCCGTTTGGTGGTGGTGGTGGGGTAGTTGTGAATTGCCTGTGTCCCTTAAATAAAAAAGGCTAGGGAAGGATAAGAACATTAAGAGCTCACAGTGTATAGGGGTCAGTCGTTGCACACCGAGCCTTACATGGCACGTCAAACTTCTTATTTACACATCGGTGAGGTGTGTCTCTAAGTTCTTACCACCTCCCTTCTCTCCCTCCTTCCTCCTTTTCCAACACAATCTCCTTATATAGCCCAGGCAAGAGTAGGACATAGCTCTTCTTGCTATAGTCTTTCACATGCTAGGATTATAGGCATGCACCACCGCGCCGCAATTCCCTAATCCTACTTTAAACACGAGAGGACGGAGGCGCACAGAGGCAAAGACATTAGTCCAAAATTAGGAGGAGCTAGAGCAGGGGTTTCAATTCAAGTTTATCTGATTCCAAAGCCCTGACTCTCAACTACTGAGTTTTATTGAACCGTAATTCTCCCAGTCCTTGCCAGCTCATCTGCAGGGAGAATGGCCCGTCTGCCAGGGGAATGGGAGGGTGTACATGGGGGTGCACGTGGGCAAAGAGTCCAACAGAGCTAGGACCTTAAGGAGGCTGAGCATGTCACCTGTCCTGCAGCTTGCCACAAGGAAACAATGATCTCATTACCCAGTGAAAACGTTCCATTGTAAAGAACAAAAAGCCCGAGCATTAGCAAAAGCTGTCACATTTCAGGCGTCGTCTGAAGCCAACAGCTGTTTTAGGGCCCTCGTAACTGGCGCATGTGTCTTGCTTTGTCTGGCAAACATTCTTCAGGCGGCAAACAGAATTAATAGAGCTAGCATAAAAACAAACATACAAATCAAACATCCAAACATCTCCCTGCACCAGCAAAAAACAACGGGAACATCTGATGGGGGAATCTCAGCCATTTGCGTGCCGTATTGATTTGCCCTAGCTCCTCAGGTGCTCCCTTAATGATATGTCATTTGCAAACACGTGACTGAACACGATATACTTCTGGCAATGCGTAAGTCACCGGGATGGCAGAAAGCATGCAGGGTTATGTCCAGAATGGGGGGGGGTGTGCCTATAAGTTGCCCTATAAAGGAGATTCTGAGGCCATGCTGAAATGCCGGCAGGACCAGCAGCAGTGATGGTATGATGAACATCTAACATTTATCAAGAGATGTGAATGTCAGACAGGGTGCCCTTCATACACTGGCTCACCTATTCCTTTCTACGGTGCCATGAAGCATGCAGTACTGTTCTACTGTGTTATAGGAGTGGTCCAAGAAGCCATTATGCCTGATATCAGTAGCTAAAGAACGGAATACAGATTACTGCTGTGACCCAAGTACCTGGCTCCTTAACTCTAGGCTCTACTATCTCAGTGTTGGGAAACAAAGAAACTTCATTCTTTTAGTCCTTGCCAGTTAAGGAACTTCTTACATGTCACTGTTCTTAGCTCCTCCTGGCTCAATAACTCCTCTCTCTCTCTCTCTCTCTCTCTCTCTCTCTCACTCTCTCTCTCTCTCTTTCTCTCTCTCATACACATACACATGTTATGTGTGCACATGCATTTGGAGGTTGATGTTGGGTCTCTTCCTCCATTGAGCTCCCCCTTTATTTTTGGATACAGTCCCTCACTGAACCTAAAGCCCATTCATTCAACTAGGCTGACTGGTCAATGAGCTCCAGGGATCTGCCTATTTTGGTTGATCCCTGAGGCCGGGGTTATAGGCACACACGGCCATGCCCCATGCCCTACTTTTTATGTGGCCTGTGAGGATCTGAACTCGGATCCTCATGCTTGAGGAGCAGGCCACTTATGGACCGAGTCATGTCCTGGGCACTTGGACTTGGGAACTCTTGGGAAGATATCCAGATCCGGGGGAAGGGAGGAAATCCCAAATTAATTGCTTTTCAAGTCATCCTGAGACATCTGCTTGGAGACCATACAAGAACTCAATTCTTGTATGTCCAGAAGCTCAATTC